TATATATATATATATATGTAAATTCAAACTTATAACAAAATAAATGAACTGGTACACAAACACAAGGTTATAGCCTATACATATAAAATAATATATTAGTTTATACAGACACAAGTCAATATAGCAAATACTTAAAAAATATAAAAATATATTTAAAGATAAAAATATGAATATATATAATTATAAATATATATGATAATAATATATATTAATTCTCATTCTCACAAAAGCAAAACTCTTTAATAAATATTTTCAAAAACAAACTAGTAGATTTCACATTCTATTGACATATATTATGTATATCAATTTTTAAGTTGATATAACATCCATAGTCATTTGATGAAAAATTTTGAATTTTCTAATATATATTTAACAGTACTATTTTATTATAATCAATAAACTAATTATATATATTCAATTAATCTAAAAATTAATATGTATGATCCCATTACATCATTATATCATTATATAAATTAATTTTTTGGTACATTGAATAAAGTGTTTTTTTTTCTAACACATCATATAATAAAATATACAATATACAATAAGGGTAAGCTCTCTCCATCCCAAACTCCTCATCTATCTTAAAATTAAAATTTAAAAATTTTAACATAAAATCTATTAAATATTAAATATTGAGGATATTGTAGGCCATGTTGTCATTCTAAAATTTTGGTTGGAAGACTTGTCTAAACCCATATTCTAATTAATATTTTAAAAAATTGATTATTAGATTGAAAGTTGTATTTATGTAAATCATGTAAGTTAATTTTTATATTAATTTAATACTTATAATTCTTCAATTAAAAAAATTTTGTTTATTGATATATATATTTAACGATGTTATATTTTTTATAATCAATAAAGTGATTAAACCTACTAGAACCATTTAAAAATTACTATACATGATTTATACAAATAATACTTTCAGTTTAATAATTTATTTTTAAATATATATATTTAAAAATGGTTTTTTGAATAAGTTTCTACAAAAGATTTAAGAGGATAACTTCTAAAATACTTTTTTTTAAATATTAATTGTTCTATTAAATAATAATTACAACTACCAATGATTTCTAGCCATCAAATAATATTTTATGTAATTTTAACAAAAAATTGTGTAATAATTAGTCAAAAACTCTTGGGTAGAGCAAGTGGTAGCTTCCCACCTAAGACTTCTCATGGGTCTCAAGCTCGAGGCCCACTCCCCTTTCCCTTGGGCTGGAACCCAGCCCCTTGTCCACCAGTTAAAAAAAAAATAAAAAATTGTGTAATAATTAGTCAATAATCATGCCCACCATTCCCTTAAATGTCTAATG